CTGGACGAAGTTGTGTGTGTATACTCGGCTTAAAACACTAGAGAAAACGTGGCCTTCCCAGGGCAGCGCTTTTCCTGGGTAGACAGTAAACCAACAATTCGCCCCAGATTTTGACTCTTTTCGTTCCTGGCTGGCTCATCCATCTCTTTAGAGAGTCTTCCGGGTGGAGTCACTGGAGTCAATCAGACTGGGGAAGGGGTCACTATGATCTTGAGGGGCTCGAGCGTTCCCACCTAAGGCCGCAGAGCATACCTGCTGGCTAAGGGACTGAGCCCTCGGGTAGCCTTAGTGCGAATTGCCCCTTGGGGGCCAAAGGAGCACAGGCACTGGTTCCGCTGGCTTCCGGAGGCTGGAGGAGGGAATCTGGGAGAGTTTTTAGTGTTCTTCTCCTGGGGAAAGCTCCGAAAAAGGAGAAGTAGCTCAGAGAGAGCACATGAGCCACCTGCGACTCTCCTCACCTTAACCCTGACCCTTTTATCCATCTCAACGCCACCTACTCCACCAGAGAAGGGCGGAGTGTGAGCGGCGACAGTCTGGCCCGCAGTGCGCTTCGGGTGGTGCTTTCCCTGCTGGGGCCCCGGGCCGTACGCGGGGCAGAGGTTGATGCTGGGCCCAGGGCCACCGGCCAAGGGAGAAACGTCCGACCGGGCCCTGCCAAAGAAGAGGAGCTGTCGTCCCGACCTGCCAGAGACTCTAGAAACCAAGGCCGCTTTCCTGTGCCGTCGACCTTCTAGCGACAGGGCAGGGAAGAGACGCGCTTTCTGGCTGGCACTCCTCCGCCAAAGGCGCGGGTGAAAAGCTCAGGTCCAAAAGCCGAGGCCGAGGCCTCAGGAAGCAGAGGAGACAGAACATATCGGAAGCAGGGAACAGGCGGCGGGGCCTAGGCCGCCTCCTAAGTAGGCTCCTAGGCCCGAGGCGGCTGCCCTGGACCCGAAGCGCGGCGTCGGAGCACCAGGAAGCGTTCCCCCTGCGGCCGGGCCAGGATCCGCCTGGGACCTGGACGGCTTTATCCCGCCGCCACGCGGCCCGCTCCAACCCCACAGTGGTGCGGACGCGGCCGCCTAGTGCCTCGCCCAGAATTTAGCTCCACAGGTTAAAAAGGAGACCCGGACTTGGGCCTGCAAGGTGGCTCCGGGGTCCACAGGACGATGGCAGCTCGTTGTCCCGCGAGGCTCAGGCTACCACCTCTTTGGCCCTTCCAGGGCAGCCTCGCAGCCTCTGTTCCCAAAGCCTCGGCCGGCCGGGCCACCAGGCCCTGCGCCTGGAGATGAGCTGTGATGAGGTTCCCGGGACGCGCACGATTCTCTGTGAACTGGTTTGAGAAGAGCCTCGGCCAGGGCGGGGAGGAGGGAGCTGCGGCGCCCCGACTCCCCGTGCCTCCGCAGGACAGAGTGGCAAGAGCTGCCTCCGGAGTCTGCGGGTGGCAGGGGGGGCTCCCCCAGCGTTCTGCAACCGGAGACGCGCGGAATGGAAGCCTCTGGATTCCCGGGACCTGGAGTTCTGCCCGCAGACTTTACCAAAGACCTCCCGGAGGGGGAGGAGGTAGGAGCGAAGCCCCCCTCGGCCGCAGCCGCCGCCGTAGCCGCAGAGGCGGCGGCGGAGCAGAGGAAGGCCGGCTGTGCGTGGGTTCAGGGCCAGGTGCCCGCCCGGCCGTCAAGGTGCGGGGGAGAGGAGCGTAACGACGATCACCGCTCAGCAAACAGAGTCCGCCCATAAGCGCCAATGCCAATGCCTCTTCCTGGAAGCTTCCACTTCAGCTCGGGGTCAAGACCAAGCTGTCCTTGCCTGGAGAATTGGTTCAAGACCCGCAGTGTTCGGCCCCAGGGGCGCCTGTCTCCTTGCCTGCAGCTCGTGGGGCTCTGATGGCTCTCGAGCCCCTACTTGCTAAGCCAAAATCTCGGAACGGCCAGCCAAGTCCCTTTGCCTCCGAATAGTTAGGAAGCTTCGTTCTCAGCCAAGAGGTCAACACGAGCAGGCAGCCAGGACCCGAACAATTGTGTGTTCAGATTTAAAACGTCAAAAAAAAAAAAAAATCGCACTAGTATTTGTTTTTTCATTTTACTTGGCAAAAGGCTGTAAGGTTTCGTCCTAAAAACACTATTTATAAGCCGTTGTTCATTACTTTTGGCTATCATTAAGAAACCTGCAGAGGAGAAACGAAAAGTGGCTTTTGATTCAGTTAAACTGCGACGCCGAGAAGATAAATTGGATGTCCCTTAACAGCTGGTCCTCGAAGATTTCCTCAAGGAAAAAAAAATGTGGTTAGTTCCCCCAATGATCGCTCCGAAACGATTGCCAAGAAAACTCACAGCAATATCCAGTTTTCTCGCCTACTCCTGCTTGTCCCTGGTTTCGCCAGACTGAGCCGAGGCCGGCGGAGGGAGGCATATTGTGCAATTTCTTATTAAACACATCTGGAATATGCGCACTCTGGCTCCAGTGCCAGGGATTTTACAAAGAGTTTATGACTGTGACAGAAAATTGTCCTTTTAACGAGTTTACAAGCAGTAATCACAGGGGTTTTTACAGGACTGGCCCGCTCTGCTCCTCACCAGATCTGCAGACATTTCCAAGATTCACCAACCAAGGGAGAGGAAGTGGGCCCGGGAGCCCAGGGAGACAGATCTTCCACGAGTCTAAAATTATACCAAGCAGAGCTGGAAGAGTGGGGGGGGGGGGGTAGTCATCGGAGTAGGAAGAGAGGGCATGTAAGAAATTAAAGTAATTGGCCCTTCCTTATTTTCCAGGGAGATTTCCGCGGTGTCCTTTGAAGCCTGTCAGGGTCATTGAAAGCTATCTTTGTGCAGGGTGTTTGTTTTGGGGAGTGAATGTGAAGAATGTGCAGAGATCCCCTGTGAGAGCCCCTCCTGCAGAGGGTGGCATTTCTCCGTGGCCCAAGACGTGGAGAATAAACACCCTAGTGACTTAAATAAACACCAACTTAATGATCCAAAACACTAACAAGGGAGATTGGGACCCTGAGCTCCCAATCCAAATGATGGTCTCCCAGCGGCTGTGTGCACATCTGTCCATCACTAAGGGGGAAAAAAATGACTTTATAAGTAAAAGTGACTACAGTTAAGTACAGTGATCCTGTCTCCTTTGAACTCAGTCAAAGCTATTTGACATTAAAAAAAAAAAAAAACCTCATAATAAGAAGGCCTAAAATTCTACCACCACCACCCCTCATACACACAACTCAGTCTCCTAGATCAGGACAGGAAAGACAGGAAAGAGTAAGAAAGAAATGAATATATTAATAGTGACACGGATGGGGAAAAAATCAAAATTATGAAAGTGTCATGTCAGAAAATAAATAGACTCTCTCTGGGGAGCAATATTTTTACAAAGCACAAGCAAGCCAATCCTGTTATCCTGAGTAGAATTTTAATAAATAATGCCATTTGTTTCACTAATTTTAAAAGCTAAATACAAAGATACATCATTTTTGCCCCAGGCAAAAATAATATGGAGCCTACACGATTACTGGGATTTTTCTGGACACTATCTCACAGCAGTGCAAAGAGCCCCTGTCCTGTTGGTCTGCTTTCTATTTATACAGGTTAATTCACAATGTTGTTATCCATGTTCGAGTCCCCCCCACCTTTTTTTTTCCCAAGCAGATATATTATTTTACTTTCACAGTTTTGTCATAAACTCATTAATACAAAAGAGCTGAGTTAACATATGGACGCTGTGGAGAAGAGCTAGTGGTAAACAAAACTGCATATCTAAATAATAAAAAAATAAATAAATACCCTAGAGCTAACTTCACTCTTTTTCTATCACATAATCAACTCAGTCACCACTCTTGGTTCAGGTGGTGGCCTTCAAAGTACCCTGCAATTCATAACCATCATTAAGTAAGAAAGCAAGAAAACTTAAAAAAAAAAAAAATAGGGCCCAATGACAGCAATACACAACTCACCTTTCAGAAACAGAATCGTACTCCTGGTGTTCTACTAAGTTTTAATTTAGACTGGTTTAGGTACAATAGAAAAGAAACCTGAAAACACATGCTGTTTTAGTAACAAATACCAGGTTGCCAGATTTGTCGCATATTTTTGCAGGCTAGAAACTAGGAACAAGAGAAACCCTTAACAGGAGTAGGCTACAGATATGAAAGCTTCAAGGGCATGAGAAGTAATGGCATTCAGGAAAGTGTTTTTGTTTTTTTTTTTCACATTGGTACATTTTTAAAGTTTGCCATTAAAAAAACCCAAGAAAACAAACAACAACCAAAAACCCCACTAAATTTGACAAAAATAGTTGTAGCACTAATGGCCACTGCTATTTCTAACTGCCTTACACAGAGAGCATTAAGACATTTAGGCACTTAGTTTTCCCCCTAATACTGTTCTTTCGTTTTAATCTACATAAAAGTGTTTAACACTAAATAATGAAAAATGTAAACTTAATTTTTTCCCCATCAAAAAAAAGTTATAAGATCATATTTTTCCTATTCACCTTAAGAATGCAAACATTTTCCTCCTGGCTGGAGGCTTTTATTTTCACTATTTTGACTTCTGTCTCTCTCTCTTCATTTCCTTTTCCTCTTCCCAAATGATTTTGCCATAAATAAATTAAAAGGAAATAAGTAAAATTCAGTTGATTTGTAATTCCCATTCACTGAAAAAGAAAGAAAGAAAGAAAGAAAGAAAGAAAGAAAGAAAGAAAGAAAGAAAGAAAGGCTACTGAAGCTGGCACATGAATTGCCCAGAACCAAGACTGGGTGAGTGGGTGCTTTTGTTTGTTTGGGTTTTTTTTTTTTTTTTTTTTTTTCCTGATCTCTGCACTGGGATGGGAAATGCAAGAGTTGGAGAGAAGAAGGTAACTAACTACGCTTGAGATCGCTGTTGGTTTTGAGTTTTAAAAAGATATTTGTGAAAGTCCACCATTCCTTTATGCGCAGAGAACCCCAGAAACAAGCTGCAAAAATGTTCCTGATTTCTATTTACAAGTGTCCCTAGTCACTGCTTCCAGGCCCAGTACCTCCCCACTTAAGACCCCAAGTCCACCAGACTGGAGGTGAGAGGGCCCAGCAGGGAGTCCTGGAGCTGATGCTGGTGGGCTTGCAGGCCGTGGCTGGGCTGTGAGGCCGTTAAGCCAGGGAGAGAATAGTTTGAGCTCCTGGCGTGGCCCATATTGCCCTGCAGCAGAAGTACCGAGTTCTGGTCTGGACTTTGGGGAGGTGAGAATTCTTCTTCTGAGCTGGACATGAGCGGCTTGCCCCCTTCCAGAGGAGAGAGTTGATTCTGCTTGTTGGAGGAGGAGTTATTGTTTTCGGTGTTCTCCCTGAGAAATAGAGGACAACACCATATGGTTAAAAAACAAAAAAAAAAGTAGGTTAAAAAAAGTGTGAGTGGAGGGAGGGGACCTGGCAGGAGAAGAGAGCCATTGTGCAATCAGTCATATACCCAAATGGAGGAGCTGTGCCCTCCCACCCATCCCCAAGGGTCCTGGGGTGAGTAAGGAGGCAAAGGAGACTGGAGAAATGGGAAACTACTGGCAGAGCTTGTGGGGAGCCACGTCCTTTCCTCTTCCAGATTTTAGAAAGCTAGATCAGCAGGACTTATTTGAAACACAAAAATTATTTTCAAAATTGTGTTCAAGCAGTTATTTTCAAATACCTATCAACTGGCATCACGCTTTGGAGTAATTAAGTTTGAAAATCGTCCAACAAATGGTCGTTGGTGATAAAGAAAATGATCAGAGGACAAACAGAGCCCAACGCACAGATGTTTGGGGTGAATCAAGTCAATTGTCCTGTTCCCATCTGAGGAAACAATTAAACGTCGAGTTTCCCTGCCCCTGCCCGGAGGTTGTGGTTTCAGAGGCACAGGACAGGTCATGGGAAGTGGTGTCCAGAGCGGCCCAGTGACCTGAGTAAACACAGGGAGCGCAGCCAGTCTCTCCGATTTCATCAGGGAGTGGGCCCTCGGGCCTGACTTATAGGAGGGACCTTTTGTAACTAAAGTCTAACTGGAACCAACTGTCCCCGTCCCCGCGTTAGTCGCTCAGTCCTTGGTCCCTCACAGCTCCCTCTGAACCCCCTCCCGGACATCCACAACCGTGCACCGTTTCCCAGCAGAGGAAACTTCGAGGCCCCGCGCAGCCCGAGACCGGGTGCGGCGTGCCTGGGCGTCGGTCCGGATGCTGGGTGCTGGTAAACTTCACGGTTTCGGAGCCCCGGCCGCTTCCGCCTTCAGGGTGCTGGCCCATCCTCCTCGGCCCCAGCGCTCCCCCTTTCTCTCCCCTGCCCTGTCCCTCTCCCAGGACAGCCGCCGCGGCTCAAAGTATCCAGGCTCCGTGCTTTTCCACCCGGAGGGGGAACGCAGAGGCGACATCTGCGGCCCCCAGGCTCTCAAGCGAACAAAGGAAACCCAGCCCTACCAGGCGCTCAGGTTTCCCCAAAACTCCTCGGCTTCCCGGAGCGCGCTCGCCGCCGCCGCCGCCGCCGCCTCCTCCTTGGGCTCTTCCGAATCTTGTTCGGAAACTCCAACAGCAAACGGATGGAGCCGGGCCAGGTGGCCGGGGGTGTTCGCGCGAGGAGGGCGGAGGCAGAGGCAGGTTAAAATAACATTGCCTTCTGAGCTCCAGAGAGAAGTCTGCCACTGGAGACCCCCTTCCTCAGCCGGGGCGGCGGCGCGGACCGCCAGATGGACCCGCCGCGGCCCGGGACACGCGCGAGGGAGCCCGGAGACGAGCAGTCCTTTCCGGGCTTGGGGCGCCGCGTAATGAGTGCAGCGCCAACTCTTCCAAAGCTCTCCTTTCTGTGGATTTCTTTTGAAAGACTCCTCCCTTTGTACCGCTAGTGCGGAATGAAGCGGCCACCTCTCGCCTAAAAGCCTACCAGGAGAGAGCGAGGAAAGGACGCGGCGGCAGTGGGGGCAGAGCAGATGTCTCAGGCCGGCTCCACACCTCTGGGTAGCAAGAGGAGAAAGGTGCGCGACCCTCGGCCCCCACCGAACCCCTTTCCTCGAGACACCAATCAACACTTCCCTCGTAGTTGATCTAGAAGTTCTCCCTGCACCGCCCCCCCACTCGTCGCCCCAGCCAACCAGGGAGGCACGAAAAACAAACCTAGCGCCAATATTTCCTGACACGCACACCCCAAGAAACCCACGCGCGGGCGCTCAAATCAAATGACTCCCCATCCCTAGCAAGCGATATCAGAGTTCATGAACTTTCGCTGCAGTACCGCGGAGGCCCGGGCGCCGCCCCGCGGACGGGCTCCAGCCGGCGGAGAGGACGCGGTGGCGAGTGCCAGCGGGGGCGAGAAGGGGCGGAGGGGAAAGGAAGGCTTCCCGGGGTCGCCCGAGCAGCGGGAAGCACGCCGCGTACCTTTCCTTGGCCTCGGCGGCCCGGTCTCTTTGCCTCCGGTTCTTAAACCAGTTGCTGACCTGGGTGGTGGTGAGCCCCGTGGCCTCGGCCAGCTCCCGCTTCTCACGAGGCGAGGGGTACGGGTTGTGCGCGTACCACTCCCGCAGCACACCCCGCGACTTCTCCTTGAAGCAGTAGCTGGTCTCCTCGCCGTCCCAGATGGTGCGCGGCAGCGGGAATTTTCGGCGCACCCGATATTTGCCCACCGCGCCCAGGGGCCGGCCGCGCAGCTTCTCGGCCTCCACGTAGTGCGCCTTCAGCCACAGTTGCTGCAGCTTGGGGTGGTTGTGAGGCGAGAATTGGTGGCTCTCCAGGATCTTGTAGAGCTCGCGGAAGTTCCCGCGGTGGAACGCAACCACGGCCTTGGCCTTGAGCACGCTTTCGTTCTTGTGCAGGTGGTCGCAGGCGGGCAGCGACCACAGGAACCTGCCCAGACGCTCCAGGTTCCCGCCTTGCTGCAGAACTTCGCACACGCACGCCACTTGCTCCTGCGTGAAGCCGAACGACGGCAGCATCGACATGGTTGGGGCCTGCCGAGATGCACTGCCCGGGCGCACGCGGCAGGGAGCAGCGCCTTAAAAGCAGGGGGGCGGCAGCCGCAGGGAGGGGGGCGCAGCTGCTCCTAACCCCCTCCCTAGGATTTCCGTAGGCGAAAAAGCTAATCGAAATTTAGGGCTGGGCGGCCGAGGAAGAAGGCGGAGGGGGGCGCGCTGGACACGGAGAGGCCGGCTCACTCCGCAGCCTTTTTGGGCCTCTCTGGCTCCGGCCTCCCGCCGGGTTGATGCTGCTCGTTGCCGGGGAACTTGGTTTCTGTTCTCCCCGCAGCGGCCTTAAAGCGCGCAGCGTCCCCGGCGCGCTGATTGGCTGCGGGCGGCGCCTATCCGGGGCTGGCCAGCCCGC